CACACTCACACTCACGCTGCTGTCAGAGTTGGGGTTGATGTTCAGACTTCCTCTCCCTGCAGACAGCACACGCTGAACGCTCCACAGAGTTTTTACAGCACGACAAACTTCCAGCTGTGGTCTGGAGCCGACGGTGTGACGGATCCAGATGTTTGCTGTGGTGGACACGTGGACTACAGCAGGTTCAGTGGGTGTATGCAGGGGTGGGGCTAAAGGAGACGGTAGTTAAAATGTCATCAGTTCATTCTTACGTTGTCTGTGTCTCTGTGAAAAACATTTTAGTGCGTAAACATTAAAACTGCTGAGACTGCAGTTTGTTGGAATCAGTCTTTGATTTTGGATATTTCAGGATCGTTTTGGAAGAGTGAGGATTGAGTATCCACAGGTCCAGGATGGATCGAAGCAGCATCCAGGCCTGATCCTGATCCGGTCTGAATCGCTGATCCGGATCTGTTTTGGACCTGCTGGAGTTTCAGTTCTGAGTCGACTAAATGAGAGGGGGTTAGGTGATTTTCAGACTCTGATCCAGATGTGTGAACACATGTGAACATGAAATCAGATTACAGTCAGACTGCAGCTGCTTTTAAAAACTCACTTTAATCACATTTGCTTCAGTTTTAAAGTCTCGCCTCCTCTTAGATACTCACCTGTGACAGGTGAGCTTTGGTCATGTGATTAGTGTATTAGACACGTCAGTTTGATTTCACAGTGATTCTACAGTATCAAAGGAGCAGACAGAAAGTCACTCTTACAACACCAGTGATAACACGTCAGTGGTGGACTGGCTGCCTCTGTCCTTACACTGAAACTGAACTGTAAACAGCGGGTTTGGAGAAGCCTCTGCAGAGGAATTCACTCTGACAGCAACGTCATTGCTGAGGAAATAAATGGAGGCAGGTTAAGTCCGCAGAGTACGTTTCCACGGTAACTGATTCAGAGTTGACGTTAACGCTGCTCCTGGGACAGCAAACCTGAGCTTCCCTCAGCTCAGGGTCAACAAACTCAGAGTTGTAGTTGAGCCTGCTTCCTATTATCGGACTCAGGTGGGTCAGAAACGTAAGGTAAATCAGTCAGGTGTCAAGAGAGCAGGCCCCTGGAATCACACCACCCTGGAATCACACCACCCTGGAATCACACGGGCCCCTGGAATCACACCACCCTGGAATCACACCACCCTGGAATCACACCACCCTGGAATCACATGGGCCCCTGGAATCACACAGAGACTCCGGCCCTTTGAGAACAAACAGCCTGAGAGTGTTTCTGTAGCTGTTTGTGGTTCTGACCTGACTGAAGATGCTTCTGAATATGAATAACTCTGACCTTTGACCTTTACAGCACATGCACTGTAGAGATTCTGATGTTCACTCTGGTTAGTTATAAATAGATGTTAATAACGGTCCGTCCGCCCCCCTGAATCACACTCGCACTGTAAACTCTGCTCAGACCGTTGTATCTGCCGCTCTGAGGGTCTCCCGTTGTTTCCGTGGTTACAGAAACACTTGGTATCTCCATAGCAACAGGCAGCAGGTCATAAAGCAGTGGAAAAAGTAATAAAGAGTAATGGCCAAACAGCAACTGAGACACCACCACAGAGAAGGTAATGTGGTGTAATGCACCAGGTCAGAGTCATCATCAGTCTGAGTTACAGGTTCTGCAGCTGAAACATGAAGTCAGCGCTGAAGCAACACAACCTGCAGTTCCTCCGACATCCAGCAGGGGCAGCAGTGAGTCAGTGGAGTCCCATGTTAAAATAAACCTGTTTACAGCCTGATGCACAAAATGTTTGGTCTCTATGGATCATTTAATCCTTTATAACACCTGATTTTTTTTAACTCAGCTGTCTGCTTTTTAAGGGGCGTGGCCTCTTTGATTGACAGGTGATACAGGTGGCTGTAGCAGCTAGCTGTCTGCTGGGCTGCACTGGACCTCTGGACCGTGTTTGTGCTGCTGGAGCCTTTTGGAGCATTTTTAATGACATCATGTGACCAATAATATGGCTGCTGTGAGGTCACTGTGGTAACAGAGCGTCCAGGAGCCACAAAGCTAAAGCTTCTTAATTCCAGAAACCATGTAAACGATTAGACTATTAATTACAAACTTACAGAAACAAAGATTGTATGTTTACTATTTAAATATATAATTTATCTGTTAGTCTCAGAAAGATAGTATTTAAAGGTGGAAAGCAGAGCGGAGTAGTGTGGGAGTAAGAGTGAGACTTTTCTGTATACAGAAAATCCATCCATGTGTGCTCGTGTTTCCTCACACCTCCGCTCATTAAACTGAAGGAAGTTTGAGCAAGTCTCTGCATCGCCACGGTAACTGCCAGCAACTTCAGGTGGATGACTTGTACCCATGGCAACCGCCTCAGTCTCAGCATCAGTGCTGGAGTTTATGGGATGGCTAACAGATTACATGTTGAAAGCGTCCTGATCCACACTGACAGCGTGAGCTCCCGCGACCCCTAAAGTAACCTGAACCTGAACACTCATACCGACCCACCACCACGTACCAAATGCACCAAATACACCAGATCAGGTGCGTGAGCTGTGTGCAGAGGTAGTAAAACCTGGCAGCTCCTGGTCCTCGCTCAGACACTGATCACAGCCAGCGGGTTCCTCTCTTTCTGAAGTTTGATTTAATTCTGATATCAGAGTATCGCTTACTGCCTCATTTCTGTCCTCCTCTCATTGGCTCAACATTACGACTGTCTGGGGAATCAAACCTGCGTCATCTTGATGTCAGCACGCAGATCTGAGACTCCAGAGAAAAAGGACCCAGTCCTACACAGTGATTGGTCTGTTTGAAATGACTGTGCTCTCTCTGGTATTGTCCTCTGCTCTCTGTAACTCAGAGTAAACCTTTATAATGAGCATAAGTCAATCTGATCCAGCAGTCCCTGAAAAATAAACGGCATCACATTTATGAGCCGTTTGTCGTCGTCTCCAGGTGTAATCGTTTTTACTATCAGCACCGAGCATCTCTGGCACAAACACTTCCTTCAGGCTGCATTAGATCTATTAGATATTCAGTATTAATGGATCGAATCACGACTAATTGGAGTCGAGGACGTGAGATGCACTCTGAAACGCTCTGCTGGTAACGAGCAGACAAACTGTGTTTAATGAGCTCAAAGACTTCCTGTTAAAACATGAGTCAGAGATGTGACTTTTAAAGAGCTGAAATCTGTTAACCAAATGAAGCGCGCCGCTGTTAACGAGCACGCCGCTGCTAACGAGCACGCCACTGTTAACGAGCACGCCGCTGCTAACGAGCACGCCGCTGCTAACGAGCACGCCGCTGTTAACGAGCACGCCGCTGTTAACGAGCACGCCGCTGCTAACGAGCACGCCGCTGTTAACGAGCACGCCGCTGTTAATGAGCACGCTGCTATTAATGAGCGTGCTCCCGTTAACAAGCATGGTGCTGTAAATGAGCATGCACAGCACTGGTAATGCACAAGCCACTGTTAACAAGCACACCACTGCTAATGTGCGCTTCACTGTAGATGAGCGCGCCACTGTTAACAGCCACCTGCTATTAATGTGTATGGCACTGTTAACGTGTATGGCACTGTTAATGCGCACGCTGCTGTTAATGCTCGTGCTGCTGTTAACAAGCTGGACTTTAAGCAGCTGTAATGGTTCATGTTACTAAGCAACAACTTTGCCTCAGGGATTTCTGGAAGAAAATTCTTATGAAGAAATTTCTGTGCAGAGTGTTTGACACAAAACTTTCATCACATGTGTGTGTGTCATTTTCAGACCACACACACCATCACTGGCACACCATCACTGGCTGTACACACTGGAGTGTGTGTTTCCACAGCAGCCACAGATCCTTCCCTCTGCATCCTTTCAGGATGTTTCCTTTAACTGAGTCAAAGTGACGCGGAGCTGTTGATGCGCTCATGATGCTAAATGTGTGTTTTGTAGCTCTGATCCATGTGAAGCTGTGGGCCATCGACCGGCAGTGCTTCCAGACCATCATGATGAGAACCGGACTCATCAAACACGCTGAGTACATGGACTTCCTGAAGAGGTGAGAAACTGCCATTAAAAGTCGATGACAGAGTCAACAATGCCAGAGTTTAGGAAAAGTTTTACAAGTAAACCCAGAAACCTTCTCAGGCTTACAAAGCTTATTTTGTTTATTAATTGTATTTATTATTTATTAGTCTGTTAGTCGGTGAAAGTAAAGCACATGTAGGTAAACTTCAACACAGCTGTCCACAGATGTGTCTTAAGGAAGGACACCAACCAAGAGTCCAGTTTCTTGTGAGAAATACATTCATTCATTATAAATGAGAACATTTCAAAACTAAAATGGAATAAATATGTTGATGTATTTACCAGAACAATTCAGGTTGTAATAATATTCACATTATGAATAATATAAATGTGATAATATAAATATATACTATAACATCAGTGAGAAATAGAAAGAGTCTCATAACGTGATCGTATTCTCGTCTTCGCTGTCGTCGGCTCTTCTGTTTTACAGACTTTAAGTATTTTTGTAGCGGTTTGTTTGAATCAGCGGAGCGATCAGAAGCTCAACTGAAGATTAAAAGTCTGTGCTTTTTGTATATGTCACAAATACTCACCGTCCCTCCACAGTGGTTACTCAGAGTTGCATTATTGGTCCTCTGGTCAGACAAACAGACTCCGTGATGAGGAACATGGCTCCATTCATCTCGTATTTATTATCTTTTCACAACAAACTCCAACTTTTGAGTTTGAATCATTCCTGTCTGTGTCTGCAGCGTTCCCACCTTCCAGAGTCTTCCTGAGGAAACTCTCAGCAAACTGGCGGATGTCATGGAGGAGGTGAGTTTGTACCCGCCCCCTCGTCTTCTTCTGTGGGAGTGGGCCTGTAAATACTCCAATTAGATGCTGTCTTCTGGGTTTAGACTCATTATTCGGATGGAGAGTACATCATCAGACAGGGAGCCCGAGGAGACACCTTCTTCATCATCAGCAAAGGGAAGGTCAGTCCATCCTCCTCTTCGTCTTCCTCTCATTCGTTTCCTAGTGACTGATCTGCCCGCTCATCCTCATCCAATACATCCTCACAGGTGAATGTGACCCAGGGGGATTCAGCCACCCAGCAGCCTGTACACCTCAGGGAGCTCGTCAAGGGAGACTGGTTTGGAGAGAGAGCACTACAGGGGTAAGGTCACGTGACCCAAATATGTTATTTTATTACATTAGGCTGGTTTAAAATTCGCTCTGAAGAACAGAAGGTGCGGCTCAGTTCACTCTGACGGTCCTGAAAGACGTCAGCTCACACAGACAAAACAAAATGTTTTTGACAGTTCATCAAACCTTCTGTTTGTCAGGGGCAGCCAGTCAGAAAAGGGGGGAGGGGCTAAAACGTTTGGTTTTAGACTGAGGGTGACGTGAGATGGGAGGTGGGAAGGAGCAGAATCAGTGTCCAGATGGTGGCGCTGCAGGGAGGATGATGATGTCACCGACATGTTTAGGATTCTGTGGGCTGCACCTTCACACACACACACACACACACACACACACACACACACACACACACACACACACACACACACACACA